GTGCGACTGGTGATCCCACCCTTATCAACTGGGGTGAGCAGGTAAGCTCGATCCCATTTGTTTCCCTCGAAATCATAGCGATGTGAGGTCTGATGATGACTTTGGTAGCTCGAAGGGAGTGGCGATTTTGTGACATGGATAGGGACCGCTTCGACAGTGCAACAGTCTCACAAGTGTAGACTGCACTTTTTTACGGACACGGTGCCTACCTGCACGCAAGTGATCGACAGCGTGTTTGGTGGGTGCGCATCCCGTGAAGTGTTTTAGCCTCCACCTCGGATCGGTGCCGAGTGCATATTATTCTGTCTCAGTGTTGTTGGTAAAGGTATTGGGATGGAAGTGCATTCTGTGATCCTTTTGCCTCTCATGAAAGCCTTGGCATTTTGCTGCAAAGCTTCCCCGACTCGTGTGCTAGTCGAAGTCGGGAAACTGACTCGATGCCTGAATAACTTTTGCCTTAATTTAATTTTTACTTACTTTTCTTCACATACTCGCCTCAAGCTAGGCACACTGATGGATTTCCTGAGAAAGCCCTAAATATACCAGGCAAATAATAGCAAATCTATATTTATGATGCCAAAATGGATTCTGAATTTTTGGGTTTCAGCATCAGCAGCGCTAGATGTTCGACCTTAAAAGCTACTGAGCTATTCCACGAAAAAGATTTTGGTCCGGTTTCATTATGCGTTGAATATTTATTTATCCACACCCTTTTTTGAAAATTCCTTAAAGATGACCATAAATAATGCCTACATAAACGCACCTTTGATGTAGACAAAGGTGCGTTATGTTCAGGTATCGCTTGTCACTCTTGAGCCCAATTTCGACATCATAACAAGAGTGCATGTGGTTATGCCATTTAATGGCAGGCACAAACTGGCATAAAGGCGTGGCGGATACAACAGGAGGATGTTGCTTCGGCATAAATGAAAGATTGAAACTAGTCTCCTTCTTGTTTACTTTCAAATAGCAACTTAAGTGGTCAAAATAGCATCCCAAGGAAGGAGGCACACGTTTTGCGCCTCGGTGAGATTAACTAAGTTTATTTGAATGAGAAAAGTCGACTGATTTAGTAGCCTTGGGTCCTGTAATTACTTCGGTCAATTTGGTCCGGATTTTCAAATGACCCCACAAGTGCAAAACCACATTGTTGA